TGGGAGAGCTGGATTGCATTCAGGCTCCTAGCTCTAGCCTGACCCAGCGCTGGCTGCCACAAGCGTTTTGGGGAGTGAACCAGCATATGGAAGCTCTCTGACTCTCTTTGTGTGTTTTGCTCTCTCTCTCTCTCTCTCTGTGTGTGTGTGTGTGTGTCTTTATTTCAAATAAGTAAAATAAAGCAACTTAAAGTCTACAGAGAGTACGTAGTCTGCCAAGACAATAACTAACTAACCGCCTCCTTTTATTGGGTATCTTAGCACTCTGGGCTTGGTGGTTCCCTACATAATCTCTTTTTTCTTTCCTGTTCATAGGCATTTAACAAGTGGAAAAGGAGCTTGAGGCTGAGAAGATATTACTTTCCCAAGCCCACACAGCCAGTGCCAACTGAAGACACTTATTGTAGAGCCAGCTGATTCCAAAGTCCTGTTGAGTCTATTATACTACACGACTGCTTTGTCCAGTGTGGTGCTGGGCTCCTCCCGGGACCAGAGCAAAGGGCGGCTGCCAAAAATTCCTGTTTTGTTGCACAACAAATTTCCAACCATTTCATCTACCTTGACTCTATCTGTTGTGGAGTGGGAAGATTGCCACACTAGGATGAAACTTTGGAGGGAGATGGTTTTTTGAATTGCTTGTGGTTGGTGATTTTTCCCAAGATGAATTAGAAAGAGAAATCTTCTGATGAGATGGTAATTTGTCCCAACCAGAGACAAAGGATTGTAGCTCTCTGTTGGGACATGTGGGCAGCAGGCATGCTTGCGAAGATGTTTGCCAGGACAGTTTTGTTCCAAGTGTGTGCAGGTGGACTCATGGGAGTGCTTGTGAGGCCCGGGAGAGGGATGGGCAGGTTAGGAAAGGTCCAGAGAAGAGAGCAGGATAGCTTTCCTCCTAGGACTGATTCCTATAGGCCTTAGACTGAAAAGTCATCTAGAGGCTCTCTGAGTGACGGGGAGACTCCAGGGACTTGACCGCTGGATGAAAACTAGGTTTCCTTGTACCAGCGACCTGGCCTCAGTTCTTCCAGATCTTGCTTCGCTGGGAACCCCCGACTCCTGTTCAGCAGTGACTTTCTCAGCAGCCTTGAGACACTGGATCTCAAGTTCTAGTTGTTGGGCTCGACAGGAAGCAGAGAGAGAAGCTCCATGGGAGGTTTGTGAAGTCCCTGTCTTCAATTCCAGATTCTGATCCAAACGCTTTGGGTTGGGGCTGGGAACCGGTGCTTTGACAAGCGCAGGGGCGATTCGGATGCAGATGGCACGGACTGCGCCAGGAGAGTCTCTGCTCACAGAACATCCAGGAACTGACTGGCATGTGTCCACTCTACACGTCCATCTCCAAGAAGGCGCCTCTGGTGTGCTCCATGGCACTGGAAGGAGCCCACTGCCCGGACCTGCACCATCCTGGCTGAAGTCTGATGCTCATCCAACACCGAAATTTGATTCTGTTCTTTTTTTTTTTTTTTTTTAACTGAGAATTGCCAGACATACACTCAAATCCTCTATTCATTTTGTGATAAACTCCTACCTTTCAGTAAGGAGACAAGCCAATGATCTAATTGTATACCTCGTCTCTGAAAGCAATTGCAGAACAGGAATAACACGTATAGCAGATGACCCTCAGCAAACCTCCGACTCCTCGTGTCTGTAGAATCCACCAAATCCAAGTATGTTTCCAAAGTTAAAATTCTGGCTTGATTAGTGTATACTCTGGTCTTTTGCAGACCATCTTGGCCACAAGAAATGACTTTTTCAACTTCCCATAGAATCCTACCCTGGATAAAAGGATTATTTTTCATTCGTTTCTTTTAACCTCTTGAAATAGGTGAAGGTAGACTGACTTACAAAAACTGTTTGGCAATCCATTTCTTCATCCTCATCAACTGAATTCTGAGTTCATGTGACACTGGAATGCAGCCTACAACCCCTAAAAGAGGTGTGGGAGGGGGATGGGATAGGAGATGTAGTTGACAGTGTTACAAGGAGACACGCTGGAAGCAAACATTTGACACTCCAGCCCTGGAATGCTGTAAAAATTTAATTAGGTGGATCCATTAGTCATGCCCACATGGAGGTTTCATACAGGACTTACAAAAATGCAGGCTACTGAAGGAAACTTTCAGCCCTTCCTGTAAATGCCATTTCCCTCATTATTGAGAAATGTGGTCTCGGTGGGACCATTGAACCAGGCTTTGTATTTACAAAATATGGGTAGGACGCGATTAACATCATGTGCCAAAGGAGGGGGGTTTTGAATTCAAATAAGAGACCACTTTTTTTTTTTCCTTTTTTAATAGGGGAGTTCACCCAGCAGGATTACTTCTGAGTCAACTGGGCTGAGAGATGATGGTGGGGCCCGCTGCCTTTTGTCACTTCCTGACCCGTGTTCGCAGGTTTCAAGGTGCCTGGGATGATGCACGTGACAAACCATCGTGGGACGAGCGTGGGTCTGTTTTCAAGTAGAAAACACACAGAGAGGTTCTCGAGTTCAGAAACAGGGTGTGGGGAGGGGCTTGGATGCCGAGAGCAAACCGAGGTTTCAGGGTCTGCCGTACTCAGGGCTCGATTTGCAAGCAGGCATTTTCCACTTACGAACACTGTCATTTTAAGTCCCTGCTTGCTCACTGTGGTTGCAGGGAGGTAGAGGAGGAGGGCACTCAGTACGATTAATCATATGGTGATATTTGAAAGCATTGAAAATTAACTCAGGACTTGCAGCTCTTAATCAGTCTGAATCAGACGAAGCTGTTGACCACGGGCGATGTTTCCTCCGCAGCCTTCCGCGGGATTCAGTCTAATGTGGTGCTGAGCATTCAAGTGCAAACGCGAGAGTTCGTGTGATATAATAATATTGTTCTAGGGCCACAGGCCCCTGGAGAGTGGAGGTAGGCTGTGGCCTCATCTGTAAGCACTCATTTATTTATTCATGTTATTATTTCAACAAACATGTATTTCTTTACACTCTCGATTGAGATGTAGAATTTAATAAGACACAGTCCCTGCCCTAGAGGAGGTCAGAATCTAATGAGGAAGGTTCATGTCTAAACAGCTAACCACAGTACAGTGTGATAATAATTACAGCATTACTATTTACTGAGTATATGCACCAGGCAATCTACATACATTAGCTCATTGATTTTTTTTCCCAAGCAACCCAGTAAGACGGGCTTTTCAATTTTTTCCCCTTATAGTTGAAGAAACCAAAATCCAGACAAATTTAAGAACTTCTCAGATACACAGTCCAGAAATGACAGAGCTGAGATCTGAATCTATGGCCATCTGACTCCAGCAAGCCCTGTTGCATCAGAGTTCAGGAGGATGTGAAACGGCAGAACAGAGCGGAAAGTGGACGCCTCTCCAGGGAACAATCAACAAAGGTTTTGGGGCTCTCGAGGGGGTGAGCAGGAGCCTAGCACTTAGGCCAGGAGAGCATCTTAGGAGGAAACTGTCACATTGTAACTAAAATGTCTGGGTCACTGTCACTTCTACGTAAACCTTGGTGTGAGATCAAGAATCATACTTTGCCTAAGTTAAGATACCTTATCTCTAAAGGCTCTTGGGCTTGGTAGGTTATTGGAATTCTCTGGTGGTACTGGTTTTTCCTCCTGCAAATTTGTTCCACGTGTTAAAGATGTCATGCATCAGGCCATGGCCTGTTTAGGTTGCTGGATGAATTAAAGAACCACTGTGTGGTTCTATGTGAGCAGAGCAAGTCCCTAACTTTGAGGATACAGAACTCAATGGGAGGACATTAGCAGGTGTTGTGGCATGAGTCAAAGGCACAAAGAAGGTTTCTGAGTGAGCGATATGTAGAGGAAATGCATGATGCTGTTTGTGTTTTGGATGTTTTAGGTTCTGAAAAATCTGATTTTGAAATTTCTTGGATTCTCACCTCTTTGACCCCTGAACATCTTGAGTGCAAGTCATTTACCATCTTGCTTGAAAACATTGCTTGGGGGAGGGAAGGGGAAGAACAGAGTGCACCCAGTATGCTAAAGTGACATTTTTCTAAATAACCTGGGAATTTCATAAACTTAGATTTTATTCTTTAAATTTCAAGGACACATGGTGATCTAAGTCTGTCACCTAAATTCAGCCACATAGGACAAAACTTCTTCAAGCAGACTGCTTATGAGCAAAGATGGACTCACCCTGTGGCCCTCTCACTTGCAGTGAGTGTTACACTGAGCTCCTCATCACGGAATTCCAAGCAGTATCTTAGAAGAGGACAAGGTGCGCCTTCTCAAAAGGCGACAACCACAACTCAGGCCAAGACTACCCGTTGAGTCCTATCATCAAAGCCCATCTAGGGGAGCATACTGGTCACCCCTTCTTTTTCCTCTAGGGAAAATACCCCAACTCCCATTCTTGAGGTGTGCAGGGGTCTGACCTCCTATGGTCGTAGCTCCAGAGGTGACCCAGCCCTGCCCTAAAACATGCTCAAATACATGGATTCAGTGATAAGCAATGGTCCACCAGCCTCAAGGCTAGGATGTTTTGGGACTATTTGAAAAGCAAATCTTATCTTACAAGGAATGCTGACTCTAAGGATGATTTAGGACTGCAGCTTCCAGTGGCCATATTTCTACATCAAAGGTATCCAGGCAAAAACGAAAGCAACACAGATGTAAGTGCATTTGGGAGACATGGGAAGAAGTTCCTGACAACATTACTGACATACTTGGGTCCAACAAGGCCAGAAGCCTGCACCACTGCTGGACTTTTCAGAATGTGAACCAATACTTCATTTTGGTATGCTCTTGCGCTGGGTTGAATCAAACCTCATGTTACTTTACACAAACAATTCCTGATACCATCTCTATTTAGGATGCCCCAGACTGCCTCTAGATATCTTAATGCACATTATGAAATCCTCAAAAATATATAAAATCTTATAATGAGTACAGTTTAATTTAAACTAGGAATGTATGTATGGAATGTGAGTATCACTAAGTCCAAACACCAGCAAAGGGCAGACTCACTGAGACTGAACCACTCACGTCATGGTGTCTGGCACTCTAGAGCTTGGCTGTTCACTTGCATGCAGGGAACATTTGTCCATAGCTGGTCCAGGTGCAGATGTGCTGTGACTGTAAAGAACACACTAGATTTAGAACACTGACTACAAAGAGAAGAACATGTACTCTCTCATTAATGATTTCAATGCTGATCACTTATGCAGATGATAACATTTGGGCGCATTAGGTTACTTTTTGTGATATGGCAGCTAGACGACTGTAAATTGCCTCTATGACTCACGTTCTATCCCTATTGGGCAGTGCTGCACCAAGGTCACGGTTGTTGTAAGATTCCACCCCTTGTCGAACCCAAACCTCTGTCCCTGAGAGTCCTACCCCATTTTTTCCTGTCTGGAATCAATGTGGTCAACCTTGGGGAATAAAAAAATGAATCCAATCCATTTGTCACAGTACAGCCCCTCAGCTATTTGAAGGCGGCTCCCAAATTCTTCCCATAACTTCTCTTTTCTAGGCCAAATGGCCTACATTCCTCAGCCACTTTCCAATTAGTCTGGTCTCCTCACTCTTCTCTGGACAGCTTCCAGTTTCCCCTTAAGACATGGTGCTCAGCATTGTTCCTGGCATACCAGCTGTAGTCTGAGCACTGAGGTATTAGACACTCTATCTACCAATGTGGCTTTGCTGCTATTAACATCTTGAGATGTTCTTGGTCCTCCAGGGGTTTCTTGGCCACAAATTGGTGTCAGAAGTACTGGCTTCTACCATAGTCTTCTAAAACCTTCTGCCTTTTTTTCTAGGGGTTCTCTAACTTAATGATTGCATGTTTTGGACTATCATACAGGGTATGCATTTGTTCCTGCTAGTGTGTTGTAACTTTGTCCCATGGTTCTAGCTTGTCTAAGTCTAATACAGTGTCTGCCAATTCTTCCTGTCTTGGGTCAATTTCACATTGAATAATGCTGCCTTTAGTCTCTCTCCATAGCACTGATAGGAAGGTTGAGCAACAAAGACCCCAAGTCAGGATCATACTTCTCCCCCTTCCCATGCCTTGGGCCACATTTTTCCTTCTGCCTCTTTTTTTTCCAAAGCCCATCTTCCAGTTCTGCCAGGTCCTGGATCTACACTCAGGTATCACTTCTACCATGAACACTGGGCTTGAGATTGTCCCCTGAGTCTCCTGTGCTACATGAGTGACTGTCTTCTCTTTCCACACTGGTTCTCAGTTGGGGTGATTTTGATCTTCCAGGGAGCACTTGGCAAAGTCTGGACACATTTTTGGTCGTCATACTTCAGTACTACTGGCATTCAGTGGGTAGAGGCCAGAGATGCTGCTACGCATTCAACAATGCCCAGGACAGGTCCCTCCCGTCGCTCCAGCCAGAAGATTCACCAGTGCTGAGGTTACTAAGTCCTGGCCCAGATCATAAGTCTTGTGTCTCTTTTGGTCACCAGTTACATTCCCAGACCTGACAGAGTGCATGGCCCAAGGAAGGTGCTGAATAAATATGTTTGTTCAGTGACTGAACACGAGGGAAACCATTTACCTGGGCGTTTCTTCTGTTTTAGGAAATAACTTGTTTGGGGCTGATATAGTGGAGGATTTATGAAAACTGTCTTTATTTAATAGATAAACCAGCTTTACTGTTAGCAAATCTGTTGCCGATTAAAACATGTGCTTTCCAAAGTACTTAAAAACCACCGAAACATTTGTGTGTCTCCAGTTCAGCTGAGATTCACCTTCTGCTGCCCTTGCCCTATTAATTTGCTGTGCAATATGATTTTTATTATCTGTGTGAACTTGGGCTGCTCCTCCAGGCTCAGTCTGCTCAAGCTGGGTGTAAAGACATCTGCACTTCCTGGACCCAGAGATGGAGAAGATGAGGACGGAGTCATGTGCTGTTTGCGAGAGTCTGAGGGTACCGCTTAGCCTGTCTCAGTAATTATGATTGCCTTATTTAATTTCCACAATCCTGGGAAGTCAGTAGTCAATCTAAACTTAGGACAAGAGACCACGAACCTCAAGTTCAGCTGAGGCAGTCGGAATTTTCATCCAGGGTTTCATCAGTGGAGATTCATTATGGAGTCAATGACTGATCTGAAGAAAGAAATCCCTCTCGTGGATAAATCTTTTCTGGAAGTTTCTAAAACACTGAAAAGAATATTGTACCAACCACCCAGCATTAAGCCCCATGCTTGAATTCAAACATGGCCATTCCTTTTGGAGAGTTCTAGAAGAGAGAATCTCTTTCATGTTTAAACTGATGATATTTGAACTCTTGAAGGAGTTCTGTGCTAGGCTCTAGGCCTAAAGGAACTGAACCTTCTTCCTGTTGCATTTCCAGACTCACTCTATAGAACCACATGGGCCTGGGGCCAGATGGTGGCTGCTCTGTTGCCCTTTGGAGAGAAGGGCCCAGGCTGAGTGTCTCCCAGTGTGAGGCAGTGAGTCATGTGGTCTTGGCAAGGAGTCCTCAGGCCCTTGGGGGAAACAAACAGACTTTGTTGCGAGGGCACTCTCCTGCATATGAATGGCCCCCAGTCAACTCCTCTAAGGAGGCCTGCAAGCAGCAGGGCCTCTCTTTGCCCTCCTTGGCCTGGAGAAAACACAGTGACTTGGGGTCAGGGGTGGGTATTTGAAGCTGAGGCCTTTGTTGTCCAAGATGCCAGACCCTGCTGGACAAAAGTTCCTTGGGGTCCAAAAGGGGTACGGGTTTCAGAATGGCACTCAGCTGCCTCTCTCATGGCTGGGTAAACAAGAGCCAGCATGGGCGCCCAGGTCCCTGCACCCTCTCTTCATTTAGCTCAGCATCACTCAGATGTCCCCTTCATACTGCAAGTATCCCACTGACAGAGGCCGCCCCGTGATGTGTATTCACCTCTGTCCAAGGAACTTTCCTCAGCTTTGTGATGTGATGTTAGGGGAAATGTTTTCTTTTCTTCTTCTTCTTCTTTTTTTTTTTTTTCTAAATTGATTTGACAGGTAGAGTTACAGAGAGAGAGAGAGAGAGAGAAAGGTCTTCCTTCCACTGGTTCACTCCCCAAATGGCTGCTATGGCCAGCGCTGCACCGATCCGAAGCCAGGAGCCAGGGGCTTCTTCCAGGTCTCCCATGTGGGTGTAGGGCCCAAGCACTTAGGCCACCCTCCACTGCCCTCCCAGGCCACAGCAGAGAGCTGGACTGGAAGAGGAGCACCTGGGACTAGAACCTGGCACCCATATGGGATGCAGGCACTGGAGGTGGAGGATTAACCAAGTGAGCCATTGCACTAGCCCCTAAATGTTTTATTTTTTGGCAGCCATCATGAGATTTTTCTCCAGGGAAGATACCCATTCTTGGGAGAGAAGAATGTCCAAAAAGATTTTTGGGGGGAGAGGTGATAGGAATACATCTGTCAGGACCTGTTTGTGAGCAGGTTGATGGAAAGGGGTGGGGTGGACTTTTGTGTTACACCTGAGAGGGAAGGAACAGGAAGGAAGAGAATGAACGTGGCACAGAAGCTGGCAGGATGTCTCCAGTTCCCAACAGAGGCCCCTGTAGTATCCTCCTGCCTACAGTTGTGAACTGTTTGGTAAAGGCATTAGATGTAAAATGTTTCAGACAAGTGGGTTTACTTTAAATCCCTGTAAGCAATGGGATTTTTGTTTAGCTTGAGGAGGTGGAATTTGAAGCCCCACACAGGTGCTCTGTGAGCTCATGTGCTGGGAGAAATGTGCAGAAATAAACGCTGGGGAAATTCACTCCAGTTCTGGGGACAGGTCTGTGGAATGCAGGTTGACAGTAATTGTAAGCCCGTCTTCTGGAACTGAGGGCCACGGGTGACATCTGAGTTAGGTTCTTAATGACCGAGACCACCACTTTCCTCTTTCTGTAACAGAGTAGGGGCTCAGTCTCCATCTGCTGGAGCTTGTTCTGATTGAGGGCATGAAATGGTCTCCAAGGAGGATGCCATGCACCCAGTATGAGGCATGACCTGCTTCTGAGCTCCTTGCAGCAGGACATTGAACTGGGAAAACGTGGCAGGCACACGGTGTGTCTCCCACACAGTAGCCCAGATGGAGGCCGCAGCTCCCTCTTGGTGGCTGCCAGGAAACTTGTGAGAACTTCAGGCGAACGCGCAAGGCTCCAGCTCATTGGAACCCAATTCCTAGATGAGCACCGGCAGAAGAGGAAGCTGTGCATGACTGGTCCCAGAAAACTCAGCAGATGCTGTGTGGGACTCCTCTCTGCACGGCCCAAGTCCTGGCTGGGCTCATCGCCCACGCTGGACCCCTGGGGCGGGGGCTGATGAGGGCCCCCCAGTGCTGGGAGCTGCTGTGCAATGGCTCTGCCCCTCCCCCCTGGGCTGGCCTGGCCCCCTGCCAGCTCAGTTTAGGGGGAAGGGATGGGGAAAGGCAGTGAGTCTCACATGGAGAACTCTTGCCAAAGACCCAGCAGTGGTTCTGCATGACACCCTGCTGTCACAGGCTATGGAGATTAGCAGGGCCAGATTGTAAGGAGACAGAAGTTGGGTGCCCAGGGAAAGCAAGGGTGCTCCCTGTTCTCGCACCGCCCTTACTCATGGGGAGGGAAGTGGATGTAAACTGTGTAATCCAAAACAGGTCTCCGAGCTGCTCTGCCTGCTGTGGCTGGGAGAGTAATCACAGCCTCCCTGAGGCCAAACAATTGCCTGTCTTGGAGCACAAACACATTCCAGAAGGAAATGAAGAGTGTGTGTGTTTGGTCAAAGTGTGTGTGTGTATCTGTGTGTCTGTGTGTGTGTGCACATGTGTCATGGCATGGCCCACTGTGTATTTTCTCAGTGTGTTTCATGACCATATGTGTGTCTGTATGTGCAAGGTCAATGTGTATACTTTATATGCATGCTCTGTGTGTGTGTGTGTGTGTGCATGTTTGGTTAGAGATGTATTTGTTTTGGGTACACACCCTATATGTGCATGCTTATGCATACATCCTGTGTGAATGCTTGGACTAGGAATGTGCATATATACCAGATGTGGGCCCCAAGGCATCTGTTAACCTAGTAGGCAAGTTGTACCCAAATCCAGTAGGTCTGCATGTCCCTGGTATATGCCTTATTTTACAAAACCATTTCATGTGTACC